GAATGTGAGTGTGCTTGGTTGTCTGTCTCTTAAGTGTAGCCCTGCGATAGACAGGCGACCTGTCCAGGGTGTCCCCTGCCTTCGCCCTTAGTCAGTTGGGATAGACTCCAGCCCCCTGCGACTCTAGTGAGGATGAAGCGGTGTATAGATAATGGATGGATGGATGTTTCAGCTTTTGGTAGCCTTTTCTTAGTAGCCAAAAGCTGCCTTTGCGTCCCCCCACTTCCAGCCCGTTGGAGCCTACGTGCACCCAGAGGTCCGCTGGCTATCGAGGGGCAAGGTGTTGTCACGCTTTTACGAACTTAAATAAGAAATCGCCACATTCCTCTCTGAGACTAACTCCCTGTATGCAGAACTGTTTGACAACGAAATGTGGCTGCACGAGAGCATCAGGTACTGCAGCTGTCATGTGTTCAGACGCTAAATAAGAGATTTGGGGAGGGAAGCCTTTCCCACCTGTGGTGCAGCGATGTGATGGCTGAGTATCCATCCCTCGCCAAACAATCTTACCATTCAGCACAACCTGTGTGTGACAGTGGCTTCTCTACCTTGGTCCAGCTCAGGTCACAGCAGAGAAGCAGGTTGGACACTGAGCATGATCTGAGAGCAGCTCTGTCTACTGTCACCCCAGACTCTGAAACTCTAATCAAGAGTAGAGCACGTGTCCAGCTGTCTCATTTACTTCAACAAATGACCTGATTAGGCCAAAACTTTATTTTCAAGTAGTTTTGATATTTATTTTATTCACTTTTGTACATGCAGTTGTCATGGTCCTCCTTAGTTTCTTATTAATTTGCTCAAAATGAAGTGAAAATATGTTGTTTTGTGCCCTTATTTGTTTTGTGCAGTTTTGTACATGCAGTTGTCATGGTCCAGTTACTATGCATGGTTATATGCTCTGAAATGCATGTTGCACAGGAAAATATATTGAATATCGAATTCTAAAAAAAATTGGGTCGCGACTAAAGACCATGGAATAATGTGGGTCCCTGGGTGAGACCAGTTGAGAACCCCTGCCCTAAGTTATGCACCTTGTATTTATTTATAATGTACTGACAGGATTATTGATCAATTTTGTTGCACANGCCTGTTCTCTTGGTGGATGTCTCTGGATCTGGAGCTCCTGAACTACAGCCGCTGGCCTCACCTTCTGCATTCTGTTGCCCCCACCATGATGCCTCCTGTTACCTCCACCAACTACGAAATGGAATATTTCATTGGTCCATTTGAAATGGAGGAACAATAGGACAATAACTTCTAATAACTTGTTTATTCATCCCACATCCACCCAACTGGTCGAGGCAAATGGCCGTCCCTCCCTGAGCCTGGTTCTGTCGGAGGTTTTTTTTCCCCTGCGGGGGTTTTTGGTTCCTTCCCACTGTTGCAGACTGCTTGCGGACTGCTGAAGCTTACAGGGAATCCAAATGTTTTGGATTGTTGGGTGTTTCTGCCTTTGTTAAGCGCTATGAGATGACTTGTTGTAAATATGTGCAATACAAATAAAATTGAATTGAATTGTGCTGCTCAAGGTTCTTTTGGTAAGCCCTCCAGAAGGCAGCATGGCTCCAGCTGGCATTGTGACTCACCACTGCCTAACATTTTGTGTTTATTGCTATTGCAGTGCTGGGTCAATTCCAGCCTAGGATCTATGTTGTATAGGTCTTCCTCCTATGCAAAAACTATTAAATAACTATCCATCCATGATCTATACACCTTAATCCTCACTAGGGTCGCAAGGGGTCAGAGCCAATCCCAGTTTACTCAGGGTGAAGGCAGGTTCACCTGGACAGGTAACCAGTCTAACACATGGCTACACTTAGAGACAGAGAACCAGCACACTCACATTCACACCTATGGACAGTTTAGAATCACCAGTTAACCTCAGTCTGTTTTTGGACTGTGGGAGGAAGCTGGAAAATCCAGCGAGAACCCACTCTGCACAGGGAGAACATGGAGACTCCACGCAGAAAGATCCCAGGCATCCTAAAATGTACACAGCATCTACTGTGATGAGGTCAGTGAATAGCAGCAAAAAGACAAAGAAAGACACTGACACCAGAGACCATCTTTATGGATTTTAATCGTGGCTGATTGTAGTTTAGCTCTATTTCACAACATAATGAGTTAAGTTAAATAACATTTAATATTATTAGTATTATTCAGAATACAATATTTTTTTTAATATATAAGCAGTTCCTGTTTATATTTTGTATTTATAAGCCACTGAAGAGTAGCAAAGGTTTTGAGCGCGAAATTCTGATTGGGTTTGCAATCGGTTCAAATCTCATTTCTGTTTTGGCCTGTTAACAGCACTGCACGCAAATTTACAATAACCATGTAGTTGTACCAACAATTTTCAAAAACCGTTTAAGAAACACTGAACGGGAGATCATCAGTTGGCTGGACTGGATACTGGCTCCTTTCCGCATTTTAGCGGTTCTCATAGATATATTGTTAACAGATAGGGAGCTGTTTTATGATAATAAATTCATGTAAAGATAACACGAATTCTTGTTTGAAACACCGGTGCATTTGTTATATCAATGTGTGTTTCTGCTCAGAAGTCATTCAGAGACGTGAACTTTTCTGCGCTGCACATCTGGCTTCAAAACACACGCGAGCTTTGAAAGAATTGAGTGTAGTTGCTGTGGCTTCAGGGGTTTTCCATTAGTGGCATTAGGTTAGAGACGGGACGTGACAACGTTGTGACTGGCGTTTCTTCTATCTGTCCCCAACAGCAGAGAACAAGCTGTCTTAATTTGGACTTTGGTCTCTGAAAACACACCTCAGACAAATATTTCGGGGGTTTACATTTGAAACAGTCCCCCGGTATGTCACATTTGGTTGAGCCCAGCGCTCCAGCAGAATCAAGATGGCTGACTGAGGAGCGACGCGCCGAAGTTCACTTTTAACTCCTAATGCCATCCTCCACTGCTCTGTTGCTGCATGATGAGAACAAATACGGGTGAGTCCAACATCACGAATACAGTGTAGATTTTGAGATGATGTCTCAAAGTGCGAGTCCATTTGTCTGTGAAATCTTGTAAGTAGCAGCTGTAGCCGAATCAGCTAGCTGTAGCTCCCTGTTTATCCCAGTGGCTACGGGACAGGGGTCTGTACTATGAACCATTGTCGCCGACTGAACAACACACGAAAATGGCAACATGATAGAGGGAATCAAATACGAAGAGGACAAGCTTCAGATCACGGATTTGTTCCTAGGCATAGCTGATACTAACAACCAGAGACACTGAAAACTGGCGTTAGCCATGCTAACATTAGCGACGGTCCAGTGAGACTGTCTACAGTGCTAGCTGTTAGCATGTTAGCTGGAATTCACGGCGTACGTTGATGTGGATTTAAAGTTCCCCCTGTTGATGTCTCCTTCACCAAATGTCTTCACCGTGTCTGATGCTGAGACGTAGATGTGCTGATTGTGCCTACCTCTGTTTCGTTTATTGAGAAGCTGCACATGTGTCATGGTATTGGTATCTGATGCTGTGTTTCGCCGTGTGATTTTGCTGAGAACGGGAGCTGTTTGGTTGAGCCGTCTGACTCCAGGTTGGATGTTTTGGTCGCTGCTACGACGACGGTCGGTGTCCTGCCACGGTCGGTGCCCCGGTACGGTCGGAGCCCTGCCACGGTCCGTGCCCCGGTGCTCTGCTGAAAGTAGCATTGCAGATGTTCGTCTCAAAGCTCACCACCTCGCTTGTGTGGCTGCTGTGACTCCAAGCTGTTTAATGAAGAATCCTAGCAGCGAATGAAACTAGCCTTTTGAGTTGTTTGTCTGCGAATTATTGTGAAATGAAGGCGAAGTGTCTTTCTGAATGTGACCCGGAAACGGGTGTTTTCTGGACCGGACCGGACCACACTAACGATACCCCGAACATGTCATATTGTCCTTTCCAGGCCAGATGATGTTTGGTGATTTACTCAAGTTGCAGTTATATTACCTAAACAACTCTATTATATCACAAGTAATTACAGCAATTAATAATGCCATAGATTTTATGAATTTTTTATTTATTTTCCCCCATATGTTCAGTATCCTCCGCATTCATACCTTAGCACAAGTAGCGGAAATATAAAATGCTGTAAGCTATGCCAGGTTCTTGATGCTGCCCGCCATGATCATAAGGACTTTTCTCAGTTGTTTCTAAGTTGTTTTTTTCAGCCAAACCTCCCTGACAACCAGGGTTCAATTCAGGTCAGATGCCTAGCTTTGGTAACTGGTGTATTTATTTAGCATGGAAACCTTTAAGAGTCATTAAACTGACCAGAGATGGAAGAAATGAAGTGAAGGCATACACATGGGGGAGAGTGACATTGATAACCCAGCATAAAGCTGTGGCAGCTGTCCAATTAATAGGTATTTTGTGGGTTGAAAACACTTTCAGTAGACCCTTGTCTTACCATCTCTTGTATGACAGTCAGGCAGCAATGTACATCATACTACTTGCTATCCACCCACTGCATTTGGTTTTGTGGATTTGGGATGTGCATGTTTCAGCTTAGGGCTGCAAGGTGGTACAGTTGGTAACACTGTTGCCTCGCAGCAAGAAGGTCACCGGTCCACGCCCGAGTGGGGGCACCGGGATCTTTCTGCGTGGAGTTTGCATGTTCTCCCCGTGCAATGTGTGTTCTCTCTGGGTTCTCCGGCTTCCTCCCACACAGTCCAAAAACATGTTGAGGTTAACTGGTGATTCTAAATTGTCCGTAGGTGTGAATGTGAGTGTGCTTGGTTGTCTGTCTCTTAAGTGTAGCCCTGCGATAGACAGGCGACCTGTCCAGGGTGTCCCCTGCCTTCGCCCTTAGTCAGCCCCCTGCGACTCTAGTGAGGATGAAGCGGTGTATAGATAATGGATGGATGGATGTTTCAGCTTTTGGGGCTGCACGGTGACTTAGTGGTTAGCACTGTCGCCTCAGAGCTAGAAGATACACCCCCCCACTCACTGGGTGAGACCAGTTGAGAACCCCTGCCCTAAGTTATGCACCTTGTATTTATTTATAATGTACTGACAGGATTATTGATCAATTTTGTTGCACACTGTGCAATGACAATAAAAGGAATTCTATTTTATTTTATTCTGTTTTTTTCTTGTGACTGACTGGTCATGATCATTGGCACTCTACTTGACTTCTTGAGTAAGAAGACTACAGTAGTGCATTTAGGTGTGTAAACTGATTTCTACTTAAACCAGGGTTCTCAAAGTAACTTTATTTCCTAAATGTACACACAGTCGTTGTGTCAAGCATAAGTAATTTCCTTTCCATTTTCAGCGAGCTGGTGTCTGTCCACTGGCTGATGTTAATGCTTCTTTGGGGCTGGTCAGAACAAAGGAACAGCAGCTGTGCAGTGTGGGGCATTCTTAAATTCCTTTATCAAAGTTCATTTTTTCACAGGTAGTTATAGTCTCAGGGGCAAAGCAAGGCAGCACTTGGAGTTTTTTTTTATCCTTAGAATTAATTTTGATCTAAGTACAAAAAGGATGTAATATAATTAAAGCAACTTCAGCACAAATTTTCCAGACTTAGTTTTGCTTGCCCAGTTTTTTTTTTTTTTACTGTAAAGTTATTGTGTAAATAAACTACATATTAAGAATGTTAGTGATTATCGGCCAGTCAATTATTGGCGCTAATAATGCATCATTAAAAATATATTGCCAGTAAGGCAGAAGATAAAGGACATGCATTTTAGACAATGTATTGTAAATTCACTTTTTAACACTGCAGCGACCCAAGGAGGTGCTCACTAGAGCTATTGGTAGTAATGACAGGCAGAGAGCATTGCTGGAGTTTAGTTAGTAAAGTGCCATCATGAGAATCTCCTGTGATGCTTAATGCCAACAGGTCAGAGCTCTCCTGTTGTGGCTGAGCTGAAGTCCACTAAGACAGTGTCAATGTGGCCTGGTGGCTGATTGCTTTGCCATTGGAGCGACCATGTTGCACGCAAGCTGCATTCAAGGCAGATATGTCAGGACGCAGAATGATGGCTTTTGAGTTTATTTCATATTGTCAGTTAACCGAGTGTTGTTTGATAAGGCTGCTACTTATTAGCTAAGAGACTTGTTAGAAATTTCTATCCCTACAACATATATGATATATACTGTTCCTTTTTGTTACTAATAATTCAGTGACGGATGCAGTTTTTCTTTGTGCCAATATTTTTAATGTGCAATTAAGTACATATAAATACATGTGAATAAATAGTTTTGTACTATTGTTTCCACTGTGTACTATCATTTAGTAGTTATTCACTTTCACTTCAAGTGAACTCCACCTCTACTTCCTGTAAAGGACAAGAGTTTGTCAAACTAGGCTTTACATTACCATAAGAATATCCTTCCTCTAGTCATTATCCACTGTACTTGCACATGACATGTTTGTCATCCACGGAAGATTGTACTTCAGCTAATTCATATTGCATTATAATGCACCACTAAACAAAAGACTAAAGCTAAATCTGCTATGTGCCAATGATTAAACAGTTGATCAAATGTGTGACACCTCAGCTGTCTGAGGCACACAGTGGGACTTGGACTAGGACTCAAAGTAATTATGGTCTTGTATGTTCCTATCTGTTAATGCAATGACATGCAATTCAGAATTGTGCCATGTTGAAAGCGACAAAAATGTTTAATGTTACTAAGTCTGACCTAGGAAGATTGTGGTTTTGACTATTACATCAACTTCTATAAATCAATAGACATCTCCTGAATTGATATTCAAAAATGTTCAATAGAATGTTAGCTAGTTTTACTTCAGTGCAATTTCAGATGCTTTCAGAAGTTCAGTTGCATAAACAAATAGAATAGAATAGAATAGAACTTTATTGTTCCCTTTGGAGCAAACCTCAGGGAAATTGTTGTACTAGAAAAACAACAACAACACCAACACAACATCAGCAACAACAGTAACAACAACAATAGTAACAATAATAATAATTACTCTGGATACAGTAACAAAATTTGCCAAAGTGCCTAAATATTGCACACAGTCTGGTGATAGAGCATGATGCTCTATCTCACCCCAATGTCCTCACTCCTCACCCCTCGCTCCCCACCTCTCCCCACTTGCTGCTCCTCCCTCTCCCCCCGAGCTCAGAGTTGGAACAGTTTGATGGCTCGGAGAACAAAGGAGTTTTTGGTCCTGTTGGTCTTGCACCTGGGGAGGAGCAGCCTGTCGCTGAACTGGCTCCTCTGGGCGATGATGACAGTGTGCAGAGGGTGGCTGGCATCGTCCATGATGGCCAGCAGTTTGTTCAGTGTCCTCCTCTCTGCCACTGTCACCAGGGAGTCCAG